TTTTTTTTTTTCTTTCTCCCCAGTTTTGGGAAGTGATCAGTGATGAGCATGGGATCGACCCCACTGGCAGTTACCATGGAGACAGTGACTTGCAGCTGGAGAGAATCAACGTGTACTACAATGAAGCTGCTGGTGATTATTTGAATGTTTTTTGCCCAGTCAAGCTTGCTTTGCATACTATGGCAGACGGAGTGGATGAGGAACAGATAAATGACAAAGAGATGCTTCTTGCATTCGTTTTAAATGTCAACTGCTAAAAAACGACATGTTAGATAGTTCCTCACGACTCCTGCATGTTGGCCATGACTAAGCATGCCATTATCCCCTCTTCTGAGGCAGAAAAGCACCTCTGTTTGCTCACTTTTGTGATGGATGTTAGAATTTTCTCTAATGATTCTGCTGTGAAAGGCCCATAGGGTACAACCTTGTCTGTGATGCCTTTGCCGGCTGCACATCTAAGTCCGGCTCTGTTCCCCACAGGTAACAAGTACGTCCCCCGGGCCATCCTGGTGGACCTGGAGCCGGGCACCATGGACTCCGTCAGGTCTGGGCCATTCGGCCAGATCTTCAGGCCGGACAACTTTGTCTTCGGTATGTAGTCGTGATCAGTGCCAGCTGGCTCAGTGAGTCTCCCTTCTCAGCACTGTGCAAATCACCGCTCTTAGGGTTGCATGCCAAGGTAGAGACTGTGTGTCCACAGAGAGCCCTGGGTCCTGGCCTGATTCCACTGAATCCTGGGGCAGCCCCTTCTCTGGCCCCTCTCTGGGCAGCTCAAGGAACAGTGTCAGCCTGCAGAGGGCCCATATGCCCATATGCCCCCCACTGCAGAGGAGCCTGTGACCCGTGAAGAATACAGAGCAGTGGCTAACCTTGCAGCAGGAGTTGATGGGCTGCTGGTGACATCAGAGGACCAGGGCCCGCAGGTAACTATGTCAGGAAGCCAAAGGCCAAAGGTGCAGGTTATGACCAGAGTGGGGCCAGCGGCTTGGAGCCCATCTTCTCTTCTGATCATAATGTGCCTTTGCCCTCACCCATTTATTGTATCTACTTTAGGTCTGTTAAACACTGAATGCAGACCTGCACAAATGAGTCATGAACACGGTGCCTTTATCAGTCCCCTAAAGGGGCCGAAGCTCCCTCACGTGAAACGTCCTTCCCTACAATCTAAACACTAACAGCAGGAACAGGCAGGGTAAGAGGGTTCTCAGCAGCTCCACAACAGAACCAGGACAGCCTCCCATGAGTCATCAGCAGGACAAGGCTGCCCAGAAGCTGACGTGGTCAGAGCTGCATTCACAGCTCGCAATCAAGACCATCGAACTAGTTCTGAACTCAAAATCCTGTTTCATGGGGCTGTGGGTTGGGAGTCCAGGAAGGGACTGGAAATTTTAACTAGTGAAGCAATACCTCAGGAGTATGGAAATTATAGACATCTGCAGAGGATGCTGAAGACAGACATTTTTGTCCAAGGAACCAAACCGGGACCAATGGCTGAAGGGTATGTGTCAATAGATATGAAGGAACTTTCTAAGTAATGTCTTTATAACAGATGCTGTCGGTACTTGCCCATGTTCCTGGGACTCCCTTGTCGCTTCTTTCTAGGCTCCCTGCTGTGTGTCCTACCCATCATGCCCCCTTTGGAAGGAGGACTACCGAAGGGCAGACAAGGGGCTAAATAGTCTAGCTTCCCTGGCTCTTGGTGGGCCACTCTGGGTGATGGTCGTCCTCGTCCCTTACAGATTCCCCGGCATGGAACCCCATGCCCACCCCAGCACCTGCTTGCGAATGCAATCTGGGGACTTTCCTCTCCTGGCTCAATTCCCTGCTACCCTCCAGCTGCTTCTTGGGGTAAACTTCACTCAGACCCTTGTCTCAGGTTGGTTTCTGGGGGACTGACCTGAGACACTCACCCAAAAGGCGATGCTATTATTTTTTATTGCTATGTACCAAGTTACCACAAACTCAGTGGCTTAAAGTGTCACAGTTGTATTACAGTTTCTGTGGTCATCAGTCGCGGGTCTCCTGCTTGTTCCTCAACTGACCACCCTAAGCTGCTCCATCTGGAGCCCAGGGCCCTCTTCCATGGCCCTCGGTGGTTGGCAGAATTCAGTTCCTCGTGGTCGTAGGTCTGAGTTTCCTGTTTGCTTGCTGGCCTGTGATCAGAGGCCATTCTCTGCTCCTCAAGGCTGCCTGCTGTTCCCTGCACATGGCCCTCTCCACAACAGGCTAGCCGCTCCTTCAAGGCCAGCAGGAGAGTGTCTCTACTGCTTTGAAATTCTGATATCCTCTTCTGTCACCAGCTGGAAAAAATTTCTCTGCTCTAAAAGCACTCACCGGATTCTAGGAGGCCCACCCCCATAATCTCCCTATTTTAAGGCTAACGCACTTGGAATCTTAGTTATATCTGCAAAATCCCTTCACAGGGGTACCTAGATGAGTGTTGGAACAACTGGGAAAATTATGTGCACACCAGGGCTGGGTGGCTCCCAGGGCTGTGTTAGAATTCTGCCTACCACAAATGGGCCATTTGGGGAATTGAAAACACGTGGTCTTTGAAACGGGTTCCAACATCTGAACCTATGTTCAACAGACTAAGTGATGTTTCTACTTACTAGTTGTATGGCCTTGGGCAAGTATTCAATCTCTCCAAGCCTTAGCTTCTTTTTCCAAACAAATGGTTCTAATAGTATCTACTTCAGAGGGTCAATGTAAGGGTTAAATGAAGTAACAACTGGAAAGTCCTCGTCACACAACAGTACAACAGTGGATGTTGTAATGAGCGTCCCGTTAACGAAGGTGTTCAAGGATAGGCTATATGACTTCTTGTTCGGAATTCTGCAGGAGAGGGGGAACCAAGATAGATTGATTTTGGAATATTTTTTAACTTTAGTAAATGTGATTTTCAGGTCCCTTTTGACCAGGTCCCTTTGGAAGTCTATGGATCTATGTGAGTATTCTTGGAAGAATTAATATACTCATCAAAATAAGACCTTAATTGACTAGTATTAAATTGTTTCCTTGGTACAGAATTACATAAGGGGATGGAGCCCATGTGCTCAAATTTGGGAAAGAGTAGCAAGAAATGGAGAAAGAATCAAAAGAGAAACCTAATCCCTCTTACAATTTGCCTTAGAACTAGTTCCAATTCGGTAAGTTAAATTTGCAACTGCAGGCGGCTACCGTGGAAATTTCTATCTTGGGCTCAGAGTAGCAACATAAGATTTTTTGCGGCAGCCCTGCAGTTCGAGAGCCCATTCTAACTTTCCTCTCACATATACTTCCTTGTTTCCCTGTCTTGCTTTCCCATCACTTCCTTTCGCTCCAGCTGCAGACTGGACTGCAGGTTCTGGTCCCAGCATTATCTAGTCAGACTTGACAGTTCATTTGTTGACTTATCTCCTGGTCTTGCCGGGCCCCTTCCCTCTCTTACTGTTCCTGTATTCAGCCTGTGGTGGGCTCTCCCCACTGTGGAGACTCTCTGCCGGGGCCCTATTTTCAGCTTCCTTGCTCTGATATCAGTATTGGTATCTCAGTGGGATCCAGATGCCTCATTAATTGCAAAACTATCCAACCTTAGAAATCATCTGTGAGGGGCGCCTGGGTGGCTCAGTGGGTTAAAGCCTCTGCCTTCGGCTCAGGTCATGATCCCGGGGTTCTGGGATCAAGCCCCGCATTGGGCTCTCTGCTCAGCGGGGAGCCTGCTTCCTCCTCTCTCTCTCTCTGCCTGCCTCTCTGCCTACTTGTGATCTCTGTCTGTCAAATAAATAAATAAAATCTTAAAAAAAAAAAAAAAGAAGTCATCTGTGAATCAGCACAGTATTCCCTGAGTTAACAAAAATTTGACTTTGAAACACCCCGTACATAGGAATTTCTGGTTACACATTGCTTCTCATCCTACAACTCACCAGAAGGGCTTACCTTCCCTTCTTCCCCTACACCCCCTACAACCAAGCTACCCTTGGCCAGTGAGCCCCCTGCCAACCAGTGAGGGGAAATGACTGGTTGAGGATCACACATCCTTATTTTCACCAAGGAGTTGTGCACCAACATGCCCCTCCCTCCCTCCCTTCCTCCCTTCCTTTCTCTTCCTTCCTTTCTCTTTCTTTCTTTCTTTCTTTCTTTCTTTCTTTCTTTCTTTCTTTCTCTTTCTTTCTTTCTTTCTTTCTTTCTTTTCCTTCCTTCCTTTCTTTTTAGCTTGCTTGCTTTTCTTGCTTCTCTTGCTTTTCTTTTTTCCCCCCTCTCTCCCTCCCTCTCGCTCTTTCTCTCTTTCTAAGATTTTACTTATTTATTTGAGAAACAGCAAAAGCAAGAGAGATCACAGAAGGAGAGGAAGAAGCAGAGTCACCACTGAGCAAGGAGTTGGACACAGGGCTCAATCCAAGGACCTTGAGGTCATGATCTGCACCAAAGCCCGGTGTTTAACCAACTGAGCTACCTAGATGCCCCTTCCTCCCTTTCCTCTATCAATGTTCACGACTCTGTTAAATCTCTCTCAGAGGATGCCTTTTCCAACATATTTTTCCTCCATGTTCTTTAATCTCCTTCTTTCTTCTAGCTATCAAAAAAACCTAATTATTTCTTTGTAAATAAATCAGTTATTTACAGAAGATAATCTATTTTGTAAAATGTTTACACTAATTATAATTTACGTTATGATATAGAAGTTAAGTTGCATTTGACTAATTGATACGCTATGTTTGATAGACATGTCATTGAACATTTGCTAATTTTACTACTGCAGTTTTCTTTTCATATTCATATTTTGGAGTTTTTATCTCCCCCCACACTCATCTCAAACATTTTCTCAGGTCTTGAAAACTAGTAAGTGCAATGCTTATAGGGGTAAAATAGTAAAATGGGTAAAATTGGCCTTGCTGGAGAGATTAAAAGAGTGGAAATAAATATTCCTTGTAATTATGAAAAACCAAAGAATATTGGCAGCATGTTATCCAAAAATTTGGTACAGTCAAATACTAAATTTAACAAACCTAATCTACCACATATTTGAAATGCAGGCTATTATTATTTTTGTGCTACATGACAACTAGGCATAAAGAATACTGATTACAAGAACATACAATGGGGAAAAGACAGTCTCTTTAATAAATGGTGTTGGGAAAACCATAACAGAGTAAAACTGGACTACTGTTTAATAGCACACACAAAAATAACCTCAAAATGGATTAAAGACTTATATGTGAGACTGAAACCAGAAAGGGAGCACGGGCAGCAATTTCTCTGATATCAGCCGTAGAAATACTTTTCTAGAAATGTTTCCTGAGGCAAGAGAAACAAAAGCAAAAATAAACCATTGGGACTACATCAAATTAAAAAGCTTCTGCACAGTGAAGGAAATAGCAAAACCCAAAGACAACCTACTAAATGGGAGAAGATATTTGCAGATATCTGATAAAGGGTTAATATTTGTAACATATTAAGAACTTATAAAACTCAACACCAAAAAAAAATCCAATTAAAATATGGACGGAGGACTTGAATAGACATTTTGCCAAAGAAGACATCCAAATGGCCAGCAGACACATGAAAAGATGCTCAACATGACTCATCCTCAGATAAATGCAAATCAAAACCACAATGACCTATCACCACACACCTGTCAGGAT